AAACCCCACAAAAACCTATGGATGCCGGCCGTGAAAGCCTTTGACTTCTCACTACAGCTCCTCGCCGATGCAATACTTGGTTCCTGAGGATGGACCTCTTTTTTCTGTGAACTGCAAACCAAGGCTGTTTTGTATGTGAATCATAAACCAAGGCTGCATGTGCACTGCAGAATTAATGCAGTTTGATACCGCTTTAACAGCCATGCCTCTATTTTATGGAATTCTGGGATTGGGAAGCCATTGTGCAGGTGAATCATAGTATCAAGGTAATCATCCTAAAGGATGCTGGAGGTTAATGAAGAGGCAGAGCGGAAGCTCCCCAAAGGTCCCTCTTTGTATCCTGGAGAGAAGTGGGGTGCTTTGGTGTTGTGCCCTGCTTCCGGAGTGGCTCAGCAACCTGACGAATAACTTGGAATCCAAGTCATCCGAGTAATAAAGGCATCATTAGGCATTATATGACACTCTATAAATCATGCTTAGCTATTTCCTTCCCTTGTATTCCTTTTTTTAAAAAAGTAATTAAATTTGATGCCTTTGGCAGGGATGCCTGTCTGCTTTATTGTTTTATTTTTGTGCCCCACAATGTGCATGGATGATACAATAACAACATTAGGAGATATGTGTACAAAGGGATCTTGTAGCACCCTTGAGACTAAACTGAAAGAAAGATGTTGGCAATAGGAGCTTTCCTGGACTTGAGTCTATTTCTTCAGATGCATGTTTTGGAGTGAGAGATCCAAGATATGCATTAGAGGAAATAGGCTGAAGTCTAGGAAAGCTCCTGTTACCAACTTCTTTCTTTCAGTTCAGTCTTAAAGGTGCTACGAGATCTTTTGCAGACTGATTTTCCATTTCTATCGTTCCTTAAAACCCTCTACTATTAACAAAACCCATGCTTTCTGCTATAATCTTTCCAATCTTTCCTATACCACACTTATTCAATGTAATCTTCTTCCTTAAACAACAGATCTTAAAGTTTAATACAATTCTTACACATCTTTCCACTTTACAATGAAATTTATCAAATTATTCAATCTATATCTGCTTCCGTTTCAGCATCTTTTTATTTAATTGTGAGTGAGCCTTATTTTAACTCCTGGGCCTCAATCATCTCCAACCCCTGGGTCTTAGACATTGGCTATAGGGGCTATGCCATTACATTCGAGGAGCTCCGGTCACTGGAGCTGTCCTTTCCACCAGCCTCTCAGGACGTTATCACACGTGGGCCAGTTTCGTTGTTAAAGAGATAATAAAGTGGAAATGAAGCATCCCGAAAAGAAAGCGAAAAAAGAGCTTAATTGCGCAAAAGCTTTTCACACGTAATTACAGTAATAACAGAATTAAGTTAAAAGCGAAAAAAGACGCTTTTAACTTTCATACACAAATGAAAAGAACCCGTACATGTACTGGAAATGGGTGTGTTTTGTGACCAGACTTCTCCTTTTTCCAGGGTGGGTCCTGCATTTCCCATGTCAGACTGTCCTACATTTGGGGTCATATCCTCC